TACATTAATGGGAATTTATAATCAAAATTTTTAAAGTATGACCCAAATATTAACAATTGGGGAAAAAAATATAGGGACAAAATTAATTACTTTAAATAATTTTTTAAGAATTCTTTTGATTACAACAATTGAGATATGTCACTACTACGTTTTTATCAAACTAGGGAGGCAAATGCATGCCTCATTTGGAAAGAAATTTCCGGTTGGCATAATGTTATAACTTTAATTGTTAATAGCGTTACATTACAACAACAACAAAGTCTTTAATACCAAGCATAGCTTGGTCTAGTGGTCAAGTTTGCATCTCACAACCAAGAGGTTATGCGATCAAACCCCACTAGAGGCACTTTGGAGGTGGGGATTCCCTTACCCTTCCCCCCCTACTTCCAAAGTGTCTAGCCCGCTAACCCGAGTCAGGAGGACCTATGAGAGGTCCCGGTCTGGTAGGGCCCTTCTCCTTACCAACCACAAAAAAAAAAAAAAAAAAAAAAAAAACATTAATGAGTGCAAATATGTAAATAAATATTGTAATTAGGGACATAATTGTCTCAACACTATTCATAAAAGTGTGGTCATACTTTTAAAAGGTGTAAATATGTAAATATACATTTTTAGGGGCATAATTGCAACGGTCAAATACAATACCGTTGCAATAGCTGAATCTAATGCGACGGCTACTTCATAGCTAATGTAATAACATCTTCTAACGCAACGGCTACACCCTAATGCAACGCCCCTATTCACAGCCGTTGTATCAGGGTTCATTACTGTTGCATTAGGGTGGTCATATACCACTCCAGTCAAAATATGAAAATATGTTAGTTGAGACGAACTCTACAAGAGGTGGGGTGAATTGTAAGTGAGTTCCTAGTGACTAATCAAAAAGAGAATAAATTAGAACCTTCTAGAGGTTTTTAGAAGCTAATAATCAATCCTAATGGATTTAGGACTCAAAACAACCTTCTAAATAATTCTAGAAGCTTATGATAAATCCTAATGGTTTTAGAAATAGAGTTAAGATAAATGGACCCTCCACATGATCATTGGGTCCGCAGATAAGGCTCGGTTTGGACCCAGTCTAGTATTTTGGCCATAACTTCTTTGTTATAACTCGGATTTGGGTTTATAATATATCGTTGCAAAGCTCTTTTCAAACCCCATCCAACTACTTAATTATTGGACCTATATTATGGACCGAACTAAACTGGATTGGACGTTTTCATAAAAAGGAAATGAAATGAACTATTTTGGGTTTAAAGGCACGAAATAAATGACTTTGGCTTAAAACATTTAAAGAAAGGTTATAAATGGTCAAGGATAAAGGAAATTCACGAGACTCTTCAACTCTTCACCTAACTCGATAATCAAAGACATGAAAGGTACTCATCACTGGGTTTGGTTTTTGGGGAGACACAATCAGGTGTCTACACTTATCAATTCAATCATTGTATGGTTGAAATAGGCTTTTAGGCAATGGTTTGCCAAAGTTAGTGAGGGAGGTACACGATATGTTCAATCTAAAATTGACTATTCTTTGTTCATTAAGAACAAGGGACCTCCATCACCATAGTAGTTGTCTATGTTGATGATATTATTCTCACAAGGAATGATGAACATGATATACAAGGTTTGAAAGTTCATTTAATTTTGATGTAGTGTTTAGTACCAAGAAATTGGAGAAGCTCTGTTATTTTCTTGGTATTGCAATTGGTTAGTTACAAGATGGTATTTGCTTGACTCAAAGAAAATTTAATTTACAAAAGAACTTATGAAAGATGCAAGGGTTTTGGATGGAAGAATAACAATTACACCTTTGTCTATTAATATAAAGTTACAGGCTGCATAGGATGAATTATAGGAAAATCATAGTAGATATAGGTGCCTTGTGGAAAAATTGAATTTTCTTACTTACGCAATACCAAATCTATCTTATACTTCCTTTGTTCTTTTTTACTTGACCTGTTTCTTTTATCACGCTTGTTTAGGGTAAAAAATACTCCATCACGTGGTCCAATCCTATGGTGACATGTGGCCCAATAAAAGGGCGACACGTATCACAATAGGAAGATGAGACGTGGTAATATAAAACACCTGAATAGTGAAAAGGCCTCCATTACATCAGAAGCCCAATTCCCGAGAGAAGCACCAAAACGATACCCTTAAAGGACACATGTCCTCACTTAATTGCGCCGCCAATTAGTGCTCCCTATTCTAGGGCACCAAACCCTAGAATGCACACTTTCCCACCCCTATAAATACCCCAATCATTAATGATGGGAGGGATGGATTGAAACATGTCGATTATCATAAAAAGGCATGTTAAGTGCTCTAACTTCTCTCTACTTTCTCCCTCTATAAACCTTCGTTTTCCGGTTACTAACTTGACCGTCGGAGGAGAATATTCCGATACCGGAATATTCATTGTTTTGAAGGTGTATGCGGCCGTCCGAGCGTATTGAAGACCTGTATCCCGATGGATCTCAAAAAACCCCAAAACAACGCTTGCCAGTACAAAAATTTTATGATTAATGACTTCAATTCTCCATAAGTAAAAATTATAAAAGTTATATATTATGATAGTATTTATTGAGAGGAATTCAAAAAGATCTCACATGAATATGTTTTTCCTTACATATTATTCACAAAAGACGGTCAAAGGAGGGGTGATGAATGTGTGAAAGTCAAAGCGGGTCAAGCAAAAAAAAAAACGGATGAAGTACTATTCAACATCTAGGTCAATTCTTGAAGGATCCAAAGATGCCTCACTATAAAGCTTTACTTCACACTTTGAGATATGTTTATTCTATAATAATGGGACAAGCTATGGCATTTTACTGAATAGAGCCAAAAGAAAATTAACTTTGTAAGCATACTCAGATGCAGATTGGTCTGGGGATCATGTTTGGACACCATGAGATCAATTTCAACTTGCTCTTAGAGAAGTCACCAATCAGTTGGAAAACAAAGAAACAAGATATACAAGTAGTTTATAAGAGTTCTTCAAAAGCAGAATATAGAGCAATGTCTGCAACTGTTAGTGAGCTAATAACATGGCAAGTAAGATTGTTGGAAGAGCTATGTGTGCAAAATCTCAAGCCTGTGACATTAGACTGTGACAATCAAAGTGTCATTCACATTGCAAAGAATTCAATTCACCGTGAAAGGAAAAAAGCATCTAGAGGTTGATGTGCATTACCAAATACAAAAATTTGGAAGGATTGTTGCAGATTTCACGCTTACCTACAATATCTCAGATTACAGATGTTTTCACTAAAATTCTTCCCTCGTGACAATTCAATAAATTTTTTGGGCAAACTTGGCATGATCAACACCATGCCTAGTTTGAGGGAGCGAGGGTGTTGATTATATTGAAGATGATGATGAGGAATTCAAGTTATGAGCCACAAGGGTTGGTGCCAGCATGCAAGTGGAAGCTGAGTCAGCAAGAAAGGAATTTAGTGTAACCAACTTTCCCACTTTCCTTCGGAATTATGCTAAAATAACAGAAGTTGTAATGAATGGTTGTTTTTTATGCTTTCATTATTTTTCATTTACAAATCATAGAGGAATTAGTTCTAGTTTTTTCCTCTTTTTTCAATAATGAATTAGTTCTAATTTTGCCTAAGCTTGAACTTATGGATAGAATTGAAGAATGAAGGATGTAAATCATGGTGTTCTTATGTTTTAGCTTTTGATTTCCACTGCAAAACTTTGATAGTTATTAAAGTTTAACTCAATAATTAGCAATGGACAAAAAAGTATGAATGGAGGGAGTAATAATCAAAGTTGTACATTGACATAATCGATAGTAAAAGCCTATGCAAAAGTCAATACACTTATTTAAAAACGAAGACTCTGTTTGGTAATTACCTGGTAGCTGATTTATATAACTAGTTGTATTAACAGGTTTGACTAGCTGGTAATATTAGGCGGTTTGACTAGTTGGTTGTAAATTACTAACTATGTAAAAGTGTTTGGTAAAGAGTTGTTTCAGTGTATTTAATACCTTAAAAGCTAATTGTTTAATTAGCTAATTTCAAAAAGCTCTTTTAATGAGATTTTTCTAAATTAGCTTTTTAAGCCCAAAAAATCTTTCAATAAGCTATGTATAAACACCCCCCAAATTTTTAGTTGGTCGGGTCCCTCGTTTTGAAAATTGAACATTTAGTATAAAAAAATGAACATTTTGTGATTGAACATATTCTGAAGGAAACAAACATTCGAACTGAAAATGAATATCTAAAAATTCAAAATGAACATTTCATTAAATATTAAAAATTGAAATTAACATTACAATATACTCCCTCCGCCCGGGATTATCTGCAACAAAGGAGTAAAATACGGACTCCTAGGCAAAACTTTTAGGGGGTTTTAATTAAGTTTGGGTGGGTTTAATTAAGGTGGAAAATGGAGGGAAAGAAGGGGTCCCACTTATTTTTGTTTTTGGGTGGGTTTTAGATAGTGGGTAAAAGGAGGTGGAGGGGACCACTAATTCCCCCTATTATTCTGAATTTCGGAGGGTAAAGGAGGGAAATCTGGTTCCCTCCTAATTTTTTGACCAATTTTTTGGTTCCCACCCTATTTTGTGAAATGGTTCCCCATTTCAAATTTTTGGTGGAAATCAAATTTCGTGGCCAATTTTTTTTATTTCCCACCAAAAACCAAAAGTTGACCAATACATTAAATTTAACCAAAAAAAAACAATGACTAACTATTCAAACATAAAGTGCCTAGTATAAAAGGCATAAAAATCTGTTCAAATTTGTTTAAAAACAACCACAACCACCATGGGTATTCAAAGCATCCAACAATGTTCACAAAATACCCCATAAATTACAAGCTTATTAAGTCAAAATATTTACTGCCTACACTACAATTAGTTCTACAATAAGGGCAGTATCGGGGTTCCGCTTCAACACCACTTCCAAAAAAGCAGCAGCCAAGAACTTCATCACCATCCTTCAAATCTGTGCAAGCAAAGAGAAAGGGACACACAGCACATGGAGGAGTACTATGATCAGGATTTTTTTGACATAGACCAACTGCTAAATGAGGGACCAGTTGAGTACAACATAGATGATGAGAGCATGGATGAAGACAGTGAGGGGGACAGCAGTGCAGAGGAACATCAGGCTGAGGCACAACCAACAAGTAGAAAGCAATTAACAATGCAGCAAAAATGCCAAATTGTTGATGACTTCCTACTGCACATGCATGGTGGGGAACTACCCAGAGGGTGTTTGTCACAAATGGCAAGAAAATATAAAATTTACAGAAGCACATCAATGAGGGTCTGGCAGTTTGTAAAACAAAGTATAGCACAAGGGAATGTCATTGATGTCAGAAGCAAAAAATTGGGGAAAACAAGACCCAAACCCAGAATTATTACAGATGAGTACTTGCAATCAGTGCCTCTATACAAAAAGACAACAGAGAGGAGTTATGCAGCTGCTCTGAAAGTATCACATGGATACCTTCATAGCTTGAAGAAAAAGGGTAGATTAAGAACACATACAAGCGCCAACCATCTAGCACTCACATCAAATCACAAAGTGGCAAGACTCAAGTGGGCATTAGCCCATATTTACCCTATCCCAGCAGTTGGAGATCCAACTTTCATTGATATGCAACAAGTTATACATATAGATGAAAAATGGTTCTATATGAACCCAGAAACAAGGAGATTCTACCTCTTACCAAAGGAAGAAAACCCATATAGATGTCAGCAGTCCAAGAGGTATAAGATTAAGGCTATGTTCATGGGGATGATTGGTAAGCCCCTCTATGACAGAAGTGGCAATATGCTACATGATGGTAAGTATGGAATGTTTCCATTCACTTACCAGCAAAGGGCTAAGAAGAAAAGCAAGAACAGAGATGCAGGGGTCATGGAGACAAAGGTTGTGCAAAGTGTGACCAAAGAAGAAATCAGGAAAATGCTCATGACCAACATCATTCCAGCTATACACAGGCAATGACATCTTAGTCTGCCTAAGGACATATACATTCAATGGGACAATGCTAAGCCACATCAAATTCCAAGGGATGATGACTTCACTGCAGCATGTACAGCAAATGGATTCAACATCTAAATGGTGTTCCAGCCAGCACAATCTCCAGATCTGAATGTTCTGGACCTTGGTTTGTTTAAGGTCATTTAATCCTTGCAATACCAGTCATTTCCCACAACAATTGATGAATTAATAGAGAAAGTCTATGAGGCTTGCGAATGGTTTGATCCAATACTCAACAAGTACTCATGATCACCTTGCAAGGAGTAATGAAAAAGATTCTGGAGAAAGAAGGGGGTAACAACTTCAATCCACCTCATATGGGCAAGAAAAGGTTGGACAACCTAGGTCTTCTTCCTGAGTTTTTGGAATGTGAAAGGGGACTCATTCAACAAGCAGTTGAGCACCTCAACACTCTATTTATTCCAACTAATCAACAGAATGCAGACTACATAGAGACAAAGGTTGATGCAGACTAGGTACAACACCATCATTCAATGACAACATGACTTCCACACATAACTAAATATGGACTCACAATTGGTTTTTGTGTTATGTAAGCAACTGTTTTTTTTTTTTTGTTGATGCTTATAATGATTTGGTTATGTGTATTTTGGTAGATAAAATTCCTATGTCCAGGCAGTCATGTAATGAATGATTAGGTTTAGGGTATGTGAAAAGGTAACTTTTTGTAGTGTAATGAATGAATATCGGTAGGAATATCGCACAATGAATTCCATTAGGGATTTTGCTTTTGTTTCAGTGGCATGTTGTAGGTTGTTACCTCAACAACAAGAGTTAAAAGACACTTGTTGGAGCAAAACAAACATACACATCCAACTCAAAGTGAGTCCCTTCATCATTTGGAATTTTTTCACACACAACAAACTTTATGGGGAACTCATACATAGAGGCACAGGCACTGACTTGCAAGCACTACTAGGCAACATTCAAATGGGATTGTACACAAACAACCATCTAGCATAACCCATCATCCATCAATCATACATTCCCTTGGCCATTCCAACACTACAAGCACCCACCAAGTCCCCACACAAACCATCCAACATAATCCAAATATGTCAATCCACCATAATATAACCAGGCATACATAATAAAAACCAGCAAGTGAACACAAACAACCATCCAACATAAGCAAGCGTTATACATAGAACTAAGCATAAACCAACCTCCAAAACAACACAATCAAGCATCATAATCTAGCAACAAACAACAGTAGGGACTCACATGCACACACTTCACATGCGTTTCGACAATGATATGCACCAACAACAACCATTTACACAAGGCAAAGCTAAATCAAAACAAGTAAATTCAAAATTAGGGTTTCGTAATAGTTACGCTGCAAGGTCAGTTCGTGGGAGGGAAGTCATGAGGGTATTTGTCCCTCAGATAGCTCATGTAATCAAGATCCCACTGACTGTAGTCATCGGTGAACACAGATCTAGGCCTTTTCCTCCTACTGGCGAAGCCAGAGGTGGCCGTAGAAGTCGGAGGGTCACCAAAGACCCCAGTCACCTCCTCCGGGGAGTCAGGAACGGCAACAACCACCACTGGTTCCTTCTGAACCTCTTTCTTTGGAAGGTCTGTACTCGAACCCTCCGGGGAGTCAGGAATCACCACAACCTCCTTCTCCTCTACGAATAAGGTAGCAACCTCCTCATTTTCTTCACTACTCCTGGTGTACTCAACGAGTTTCGCTCCTATTTTCCCATGGGTGAATCTGGAAAAGGAGGAAGAGCACCGACGAACTGGTTTCAAGTTCCCAAAACCTCGTTGCAACTTGTACCGAGTAAAGGAAGGCTTAGAGTGCCTCTCAGGGGTGAGGCGTTCAGGGGACTCGTTCAGATCTAGGTTCTTACTCATTTTTTGGGAGAGATGAAGAAATTTGGAGTTAGGGTTTCGCAGAGAAAACGGGAAGAAGAGGAGGTGAGAAAATGAAAAGAACAGGAGAGAGAAGAATGGAGAGAGGAGGAGGTGAAAAGAATTCTGGAGAATTTTGTGGAACTTGAATGAATCTGGGCAGCATCGTTCTTTGATAACTTGCTATTTTATGCGGTTTTAGGGCGTATTTGAACCTAGTTTACCTGAACAAATTTGTGTTTTGGTTCACTTTTACCCTATTATTATGCAATTTTTGTGTATCCTATGCTTCACGGGTTGTTAGTGTTTTTGTTGAGATTTTAGGTCCAAAGACGACCAAATGAAGCCCATGGTTACCAAACCGAGGTTAGAAGCAAGGAAATGATGGAAAGAATCCAAGTACAAGATCATCGTAGAAGAAAACACGAAGAAAAGGGCCCAGAAGACCCTGCACGGCCGTGCAAGATGTTGCACGTCCGTGCAGGAGTGCAGAACTGAACCCATCTTTCTGCCAAGGCCTGCACGGACGTGCCAAATATTGCACGTCCGTGCAGATGATGCAGCACGGACGTGCTTCCGTGATTATGAGGCAGCACGGACGTGCCAAATATTGCACGTCCGTGCAGATGATGCAGCACGGACGTGCCAAAGGTGCACGCCCGTGCTGCAGCAGGTCGTCTTAAACTGAGTTTCTGCCTTGGTCTGCACGGACGTGCCAACCTACAGTTTACCCGTTTCTTGTTTTCTCCGTCCTCTTATTTTAGGGGGTAGTATAAATAGCCCCTTTGGACCATTTTAGAGGGTTCCCAATTTTTTTCCAGATTTTCATACTCCTCTTAGTTTGAAACACAAAAATCCTCAAATTAGCATAGATTTTAGTTCTTGTTTTGAAGGTTTTCAATCCAATCATTGTAGAAGACAAGTTCCACCATTGTTAGTCAATTATTGAAGTTTCTAGTAATTTTTCTTACTCTTTCTTTCTCTCTTCTATCTTTAATTCTTGCTTTTTATTAATTGTTTGGTTGTTCTTTGCATGTTTAATTGTTAGATTCTACTTAATTCTTAGTTTTAATTTGTTCATGAATTCCTTGAAATCTTTAATTGCTTTAACTTCCATGGATTGTGAGTAGTCTAATTTCTAGGGTTTGGGTGAACCCTCAATGTAATCACCAACACTTGTTGCATGTACTAATTTGTTAATTGTGGGGTGTTAATTAGTTGAGTTTAAGAGGTTTCATTGTTAATTCTTGTAATTGGCCATTGCTTGAATTATTTATCTAGCTTCCTCAACGAAGGATCGAGAGATGAACTTGAGGAAGCTCCCTTACGCTTGATTGACTTGATTTGCCATGAGAATAGGAATTTCTAGTCAAGGGAATTTGCATGTTATCGTGAGGATGTTTTAACACTTGTTTCTTGCCCATAATCACGAGAGTAGGTTATGGTTTTGATGTCAAGTAATCCCTCTAGCTTGAGAGAGTAGTTGGGTGCATTTGATAACTTCCCCTAATTTATCCCCTAAATCACCATTTCTATGCATGCTACTTGTGGTCCGTGATGAAGTTGAGTGGTGTAACCCATGCCCTATGCCTTCTTAATATTGTTAATCACCTCTTAGAATTAGTTGATTTGAATTAGAATAGTGTGACGTAATACCAACTTAAAACCCCCGACTTAATCTAGCTTGTTTAAACAATAACATTTGGTGGTTGATTCAACGCCTCTCATGGGTTCGACCCTTTCTTGCCCTTGCTACTAGTTTAGTAGGATCGAGTTAGGTCTTATTTCTTGATAGGTTGACGACGTCCTATCATTCTTCGAGGCAAATTCAATGAAGTTCATTGAATGTGGTGGTTGTGAAATGGAAGATGATGATGAGACAGGAGGGGAGGGGAAAATATTTTGGTGGGAATCAAAGGGGGGTTAGATAGTTAGGATGTAATTGTGAGTAATTAACAATTTGTAAACAAAGTTAAAAAAGTTAAGTAAAATGTGACATTTTACTACTAAAAATTTACCAAAAAAGGAAATAAAAAAAAAATTGTTGCAGATAATAGCGAGCACCTATATTTAGTAAATGTTGCAGATAATAGCGGGCGGAGGGAGTACAAAAATGAACATTTTTAATATAAGGGTAAAAGGAATAGACACTTTGAAACCAAAAAACAATTGTACATAAGATATTATATAATTAAACATTTCAGTTGTAAGTAAAAATGAACATCTAATGTTTTTGCTTCTTCATCAACATTTCTTTGAGCTTCAAGTGTTACCTCTTCAACAATTATTATTATTGTAAGTTGCTTCAATTGTCGTCGACGCTTCCTTACTAGTCTTTTGTTCGCCTCTAAAATAAAAATGAACATCCTCTAATATAAAGATGAAGAACTGATTTTCTCAAGACTTTTTTTATGAATGAACAATCAATCTTTAACATATATGGACATCATCATGTTATAAAATGAACAAAAATACACATCCTAAAACAATCAATAATATTGATGTCTTTAAAAAAGTAAATTGATCATTCGCTAAAATGTAAATGAACATTTTCTAATATGAAAATGAACAAATGGTCTTCTCGAGACTTTTTATGAGAATGCATAATCGTTTATTCATTTATGAGCATATTTTCATCATTTTGAACAAAAATGAACATCATTCTTTTACCGTACCAAATGAACAAAAATACAAATTCACTGTCAAGATTTTGAACATTTAACCAACAACAATTAAAAATGTTGTTGATTTTAAACAAGTAAATTCAACATCCTCGCGCTAAAATGATAATGAATATCCTCTAATATGAAAATGAACAAATTGTAAATTGGTGGATCTTTTGATTTCATTTAAGAGGTTTTGATCTATTATAGGAGTCGATCGGATTTAGCACCTGTTTTTTTAGCCATTTTTAAGGTAATTGGTTCAATATGATCATCATCTCTGTTTTTTTTTATGATTATAATTAATACTCTTATGAGTGCAATATTAAAATGAACATTTACTTTTCACAGAATGAACATTTAGTCGATAAAACCGTATAAACATTTAATTTTTCCAGAATGAACATTTAATTTTCACAGAATGAATGTTTAATTTTTTTTTGACATCAAACAAAATGACTACTTCGTAGTAAAAAATTACTAATGGCTGTATAATTTCATCATTTCTCGTTAATTTCGGCATTAATGTTAAAATTATTATTGCAATTAATTTAACCAAAATTGATAATGTTCAAAAGTGCAAATAAATCAATCAAAATTGCAATTAATTTTGACAAAATTGTCGCATAATCTACTGAAATTTCAATATAAAATCTTGTTTGTAATTGAACAAATTTGTGTAAATAGTAAAATTACCTTTTCTTTTGAGGTCGTTTTTCAAATTGTGTAGTGCACCTTTAATTTCTTGTTGAATTTCCATGTTTGTGTAGTTTTGATAGCAATTTTTTTTTTTCTTTTCTTTTCAGATTTCTAAGCTTTTGAAGGTTTGATATTGGCGGTTTCGAGAGAATATAGAGAAATAAAGTAAGTGGTTAGAGAGAGAAAATGGGTTTTGTGTATTTTGAAAATAAGAAAATGAGATTTTTTTTTTGTCCTTTTAAAATCAGTATTGATATTGATGTGACATCATGTCTCTTGAATTATATAAGTAATAAAACGTTTCGTTTAACAGGAGGACCAAACATATGTAACTAGCCTAAGACTAGCTATTACTAATTAACTAAACACCCAAATTTTAAAACGATTAAACATTTAATAGAGCCCAATTAGCTGAAAACTTTTCAAAAAACTCTTTATCAAATAAGACGGAGAAGAGTACTCAATTTAAATTGAAATAATCCAAACAAAATAAAAATTGACATCAGCACTCCAGCACACCCTTAAAGTTTAGGCGCTGGCGCTCAAAAATCAAAATCACAAAAATACATCGTACGGAGTTAAAAAAAAAGACAGAAAAAAAAAGCATCTTACAGCAAACGAACTCTCACAACCGTCGATTCCAAAAACAATCCAACGGCAAAGAATCATGATCCGTGTGCTTTAATCTAATTGGCTGAGATTCAAACACCCAAAACCAAACCTCTATATAAACATAACAACCCAATAAGCTTCCAAACATCCTTCATTTTCTCTCTCTAAAATCCTCATCTTCGTCTTCAACTTTCTCTCACTAGAAAAAATTCTCAGAAACTTCGAAAATGGCAGGAAGAGGTAAAACCCTAGGTTCCGGCGCAGCGAAGAAGGCGACTTCTCGAAGCAGTAAGGCTGGTTTGCAGTTTCCGGTTGGTCGTATTGCGAGGTTTTTGAAAGCCGGAAAGTACGCCGAGCGTGTTGGTGCCGGAGCTCCGGTTTATCTTGCTGCTGTTCTTGAGTACCTTGCTGCTGAGGTATTTTCATTTTCCTCTTTTGATTTTGAAGTTTATTTGATTTTGAGTGTTTTTGAGGTTGTTTTTGGTAAATCTAGGGTTTTGATTTGCTGGGTTGTAATTAAAATTGGAGTTCTAGTTACTTTTGATTTCTGATCTTTGGAAGTTGTTGATGTAGATGCTTTTTTCTATGATCTTCAAATTAGGATTTTGCTTTTGCAATGAATAATAAGCTAAATGGTTTTAAAAATAGTAAAAATTCGTGTAATTCTGGATTTATATTGGCAATGTTTTACATGTCCCATTAAAAGCTAAATTTTTAACTTGTGGGTTGATGTTTTCAAACAATTTTGTAGAAAGTTCTTTGATTAAACTTGATGTGAATTGCTAGCTAAGAGTTGTTGATTAAAATGCTTATTTATATGTTGTTTTGATGGTTGGACAAATGTTGATTAATATGTTGAATTGGTTGGTGTAGGTTTTGGAATTGGCAGGAAATGCAGCAAGAGACAACAAGAAAACCCGAATTGTGCCAAGACACATTCAATTGGCAGTAAGGAACGACGAGGAGCTGAGCAAATTGCTCGGAGATGTGACAATTGCCAATGGTGGTGTGATGCCCAACATTCACAACCTTCTGCTCCCGAAGAAGGCTGGTAGCAACAAGCCTACCGATGATGACAATTAAGAATGAGATTTTCAATTCGATAAAGACGGGATCTCAATTATCTCTGTTGGGAACCCGAAAAATTGTTGTCTTTGTTGTTAGATTTGTAGGGTTGTAGTTAGGGGATTAGGGTTTTGCTTCATTTTCTTGTTACTTGTGGGTTATGGGTAATGTTAGTTTGGGTTAATTTTAATTTATATATTAAGGGGGTTTTGGATAGACTTTACCTTTTAATGTGTATAATGTTCATGTTTCATGATCTTGACAATTTGAATGGAAAAAACAGTGAAATTTGTGGAAATATTTGTGTCAAATTTTTACCTCGAGTTTGGTTGTTTGCTTATAATAGCATTTGAAAGGGAAGTAGATGGATGTACCCAAATTTATGTTTTTCATTCTTAGCATCAATTTAATTTTGATCACAATGCTGAATTTGAAAATTTTAGTTGTACATTGTACTACATTTGTTCTTTGTCTTACAGTAAAACTAATACAACATTTATCTAAAATGTTTGTTTTGAAATAAGTTGTATAGCTTTTGTTCTTCAATCATGTTCTTTTACGCAGTATGAGTGTTAAGCATGGCATATAGTTCATGTTCTTATATGCAGTATAAGTACTTTGTATTAAATATGGCATGTCAACGCGATCTTGGTTACGAACAATGAAGTAACATTTTTAATCTGAAAGACTGCTTGAGGAATTTAACTGAATGCTTCTGTAAATGGAACAAAGCGTACAATATGAGGCATTTGCATGATAAAATTTTCTATTCAGTTTATAATATGAAACTACTGTCTAGTTTCAAACAGTCAGGCAATAATTGTGATCTACAGTCTAGAGACGATCATACAAAAAATCAACTAAATAAATTTAATTAAAAATAAATTACAAGGTGAAATAGTTGTAACTAAGCATGAGTCACTAGGAGAATTTGAGCTGAAGGTATATTTCTATAAGGGGGATCTGTGATGATGCACAGCCGAGGCACGGTCAATATTCCATATGCCTATGCCTTTGAAGCCAGACCTTCTGAAAAACTCACTTCAGAAGGATGGTAAGTGTTGATCTTCTCAGACTTGGGATTCCAAAATCAACAGTCCTTCAATCTCCTGATCCCCCAGCTGAAATCTGAACAAAGCATAATAAAAGAGTTGCGTAGAAATGTGTTATGAGTGGATTAAGAAAAAACTACCCGTGTTCGAATTAAAGTCTGAACATCCTGCAAATTTACATACCTACTATTACAACTAGAGGATATACTGTGTCGGTGTGTCCTCAATCATCATCTGAACTGGTACCATCGTCCATTCGCCTCTCTACAATAGCTGGGAAAAGTTTTTGGCGAAAATCAGGAGAAAACGGTGTTCGAGGGGTTTCTGAAGACGTTTGCCTTGAAGGAGGCTCTCGTTTCTTCTGATTTTTGGTAGGCCACCTCGGCGTCTCCTTCACCTCTCGGCATGCTTTGTCCAACATTATTAAGAAATCTCGGACTATAACAAACAAACGCAATCCCTCTTCCTTTCCAGAACTTCCATGAAAGTAATCCACAGTATTCTTTACAAGAGCCGCAATCCTTTTTTCTTCCTCCAATAGAAGAGTGATATCACCCTCAGCAAGCTCTACAAAGCTTTTAAGGGCTCGGTGGAAACCATTATTTTCATCCACTTCTGACATTTCTTTGTTGAGAAAGTTCTTTGCTTTACGCAAAGCATTTCCGAACTTTGTAAGGGTTCCTGTCAAAATATCTGAATCCAAACATGCAGCTTTCTTGACATTTTCTAGCTGGTCTCCTACTCCCGAAACAACCTGAAGACCAAGACTGCGATAGTGCTCCTCAGAATCATCAGGAACATCTTTCAAAAGATCTTCAGACTTAACACTGGACATACTTTTGCTCTCTCGGGAAGCACGGACAGCCCTCACACCTTCTGAGCGGATTATTTCCTGAACAACAAAATGGAGAAGTGTGGTCTTGCCATCTGTTCCTTTGACATCGGCCAATTTCAACAATGTATCCAGCTTAAATGCGTGAGCACCACCACGATACGTTCCATCATTCATACGGTTACCAGTCTTAAGAACAGCTTCTAGAAGCTTCAGAAAAAGGCGACTATTTCTGAGTTCCTTGCAAGCAGCCTGCTCAGATTTGCAAGACACGAAGATAATATTAAAATATAGAATGAGCAAATAAAATCAAATTAGAGCTTATCAGAATACTCAGAGATACTGACCTCTAAAGTAAAGAAGGATTCCTTCACTGATGTAGCTTCCTCTTGTAGAGTAACCATAAAAAGTAAAGTATCCATTCGCTTGAATGCAAAAGGGATGTCCACCAAAGCCTTCAAAAACCGCTCAGCTGGTCCAAGTTGAGATATTTGACCATCAAAAAGTCTCAGTTTCAGTTCTTCTTCTTGGGTTGGAGCCATTTTTAACAAAGTTTCAAGGAGTTCCGAAGGAAGCTCATTCCCTAAGAAAAGATGGACAGGCAAAATAACCAAATTTCAGCAAGTAATACATATACTGTTGCTCTTCTTTTTGAAAGGTTGGTAGCAGGAACTTTCAAGTGAAGCTTTCATCAATCATAAAACATAAAAGTACGTTAGCAAATAATGTTGCTCTTGTGGTTGTTTAGAAGCTACAAAAGGGTTTTGCTATGGACAAGTTCAAACTCCTAGGAGCTATATACAAGAATTATACATATACAGGAGTTTATGATTGAATCACGTGTTATTTAGGGGTTGTTTGGTTAAACTTCTTGGAATGGGTTGGAATGGATTTAGAATACATTTCATGGTTTTATTTGTTTGGTTGGGCTATTTAAGTATGGAATCTCATACCTGGGAGATTCTAACTCCACCCATTCCATTGGAATCTCATACCCACCTCTCCCCTAAGGATTCATAATCCATACTACCACTCAAGTATGAGAACCCATTCCATGGTTAAACCAAACAACTTTAGATTGGTATGGGATAAAGAATCCATACCACCCAAGTATGAGAATCCATACCAGCTTAGGCCTTGTTTAGTTCAACTTATATTTACTTATTTCAGAAAAAATAATTTCAGATCAGATCAGAAAAAATAATTTTTTATTGCTGAATATCTTTAATTTCGTAATGAAAAAAATTATGAAAATTACATATTAATAAAATACACATTATTACGAATTTAACAAGATCCTACTTGATATGTTTTTCTTTACAGATTATCGTACACATAAGGTCAAAATTTGGTCAAATCACACAATAAGATCAAATTAGATCAGACCACATCAGATAAGATCAGATTAGACCTCATCAGATAAGTTCAGATAAGCAAAAATAAGGTGAACTAAACAGGGCCTTAGTGAACCAAATGACCCCTTAGTTGCTTAAGGCTACATTAGCTTTTTATTAACCTAAAAACAGGGAGTTTTTTACATTCATGGAAAACAACCCTAGTATAACCGTATAAGAAGTATAAATAAATCAATTGAGAAAGTTTAGGTACACATGAAACATAAAAAAGAATAGAAACAATTTAGGTACACATAAAACATAATGAATAAAAATATAAAATAAGGTTTTAGTAGACAGTTTTTAAATAAGATAAGTGTAAATACAAGTTCATCTCTGAGATACACAATAATTGTTTATCACATGGCATTTTCGTAAATAAATCAATAACTTTTTCCATAAAAGCGGGTCCCACAATGATGAAGACTTGATAAAGTTATTGATTTATTTACCAAATTGTCATAAGATAAACAATTTTTGTTTATCCTAGTGATTATCCTGGGTTTCCTCGTAAGATAATGTGACTTAGATAAGATTACAACAAAGGCCTCCCTTAAATCAGATTTCTTCACCGGAGCAATTTCTGGTACAAGTTGATTAAGGTATGATGTGGTCCGAATCTTTCTAGTCTGATTTGATGGCTAAACTTTGACTGTGATTTTACACTAATGTAAAAACTTTTTTTAACAATGTGTATATTCCAAAGACCTAATAAGAGCTTTATTTAAAATCAACAAGGCTAACAAGACAAGGCCTAATCATGCTAAAAAAAGTGTGCATGGCAATGATAAGCTTGAAATTTTTAACACTTCCCCCCTCCTTTAGTGAATTGCTTATTGCAAAAGTAAGTAAGATCACCTTCTAGCAGAGCATCACGAACTTCTTCAGTAGTAACATTTAGTGCCCGTAAAAGGATAGAAAGATTTTGTGCCTTTTTCTGATCAATAAGTTGAATAAATTGTGATGGTGGATCGCCAGAGGAAGAAACTTTCTTTTTATTATTTTTGTTCTCAGAAGCAGCAAAACCAAATAATGACTCTATCATCTCTTCATTGAACCTGTAAAGTTGATTGAAGAATTATAAGCACTGCACTATCAATGATCAGGAAAATGACAAATCTATTGAAGTAGGAAACTCACTGGAAAGACCCTGATTTAAGTTGGTCCCAAACCATTGAATGTTCAGGGTTGGCTTGAACCTTGTCCCAAAAGAACGGTTTTAGCTTGGCTTTTGAAGCATCATCCCCATTAGCAGAACTGCTACCTTTGACTGCAATTGGTGGGAGTCGAGATGGTGTACTGCCACCCTTTGGCGGTGGTGGTGCTTGGGGCCCAGGCTTCCCTCCACGGGCTGGTGGCGGTGGAGGAGGCCCAGGAGGAGGTGGGGCTGTTTTTTTAGGAGGGGGAGGAGGAGGAGGAGCAGCTGCTTGGGGCTTTGGAGGAGGAGGAGGTGGTCCTCCTGTGCTTGGAGCTCGCCTCAAGGAAGCAGGGCGTTCAGGTGGCAAGGGATCTGCTCTCCCAGGGGGTGGCCTCAAAGGAGGCTTTCCAGAGGTAGGCACACCAGTTCTTCCAGGAGGTGGCTTCAGCCCTGATGATACATTATTATTGCTAGACACGTTTGAAGTATCAAAGGAAGTATTTGCTGTCACATTGTTAGCAGATTCCATTGAGAACTTAACATCTGAAGAGACACCACCAATTGTACTTAAGTAAACAGCATTTCCTTTCTGAACAGAATTTTCATAAGTCCAAAACTTTGGTGAAGAACCTGAAAGATTAACATCAAACATCAGTACACCATTAAGATTTGGAAGTTTCAACTCCAAAAAAGATATTTCAGATAATTTATACCACTAGCAGAGATATCACTTGAGCTTAAGCTTAGAAGGGGTCTGTCATCCTTATGTTCCATTTTGGAACCTCCGCCAAAAGCTTTACGACAGCATAAAAATATGATTAAAGCAGCGAAAAATGTTACACATGCAGTAACAACAACAGCAACAACAATTGTAGTGCGGCTATGGTCTTTGCTGTCAGTGTCTGCTGCTGAGTCTGGCTCAGAATGTCCACCATCTGGTGAAGATTTGGGAACAGATATTGGAAAGGAAAAAATGTCTGGTGGAGGTGGAGCTTTGCGCTTTGGACCAGAAGGTTTAAAGCCAGAAGATCGAGGTGAAGGGGCAAAGGCAGGAGAAGGAGATGGAGATGGAGATGGAGATGGAGATGGAGAAGGAGAAGAAGGAAAAGGAGAAGGAACTTCAGCTAAAAGCCTTCTTGAGTCGAAAGTGGGCTTCAACTTTAGGTATACGGAATGCAGATCTTTATGAAACCAACCAACCTGACTGGCATCTTCACCGGAGATTGGGGAGATCTGAAAATTATCCCTGAAGCATTTGAAGATGTTATTCTTTTTCTGTGGCTCTATAATGCTGAGAGCTTTCCGAACATTATTCTCTGTCAATGCTTGACTGTTGAGAATTTTTCCAGTTTTTGATCCTGAAGCATCTGGCTCAGTAAAACCAAGACCTTTATAAATTTGATTCACATGTATCAACTCATGCCTGCAACTAATAGCTAATACCTCCACCTGCCACAGCACATTATCAGGTCAATATACAGTCAGGAATTGCAGTATGTAAAGGCTCATATCTTAAAATCATAGGATGCATAAGCATCTGACAGATGAAGCAAGCCCATTCCTCATTCCCATGGAAGATTAAAAAAAAAAAAAATAATAATAATAATAAAAAAAAAAACCTATCTAGATGGGGGATATTAAAATATAAAAAAAGTGAATCGGAAGCCAAAGGGATACAAATGATAGCTCCTCCAAAAAAAGTACTTAGGATGTAATAGGACCACAAGTAAAACCAAATTTCCCAAGAGTATGGCACAGAACCTCAGTTATCAAGCTAAGAACATCATAAAAGTAACTTAAGCAAATTCAGAATGCCTAGAACAGAACAATTTACCAAGGAAAGCACAGGCAATCCGCAAGGTATTAATTTAAAAAGATTTTCATCAAGTGACTTATAGACTAATAGTGGCCTGCAAAAAAATAATCTAGACAGATTTATTTGTATATACGAGCTCATGTTCAGATTTCTTTGACAAAGTCAACATTTTAATATGTTAACTTATCCAGGAAACCAAATTTGAAAATAATATTGGTTTTTTATTTTTTTATTCCTTAAGTGAAACTAATGGAATAAGTTTTAAAAGAGAAGCAAAGATTGCCGCTTTTTAATATTTATACATATGCCAGATGCTTACCATACTGATCACATATCAGATATTACTTCTTGACAATATGCCTTAAGCACCAAAAGAAAAAGGACACAACATCCTATAGACCTGTTAATCCCCCCCCTGCGCCCCGCCCGTGGAAACGAGTAAAATGGATAAGGATGCCCATGACAGAGGTGAAATGGAACACTTACAAGACCGATGGGAGTTCCACCCACTAAAACTATTGGCAGCGGGAGAATAAACTTCCTAGGCTTATGAGGTGATCATTTTCACATCTTTTCTAAAATGAGACCCCAATCTTGTGCACACATATATGAGGATCAACATGATCATAGCCAAGAAAAGGATATTTATTCAGCAAGTACAAGAAGTTAACAACTCAAACCACCCACAAGCATTTTAGCAACTCATTTCATCAAACTTATGCACTAGGCAAACATGACAGAGCCAGCATATTTCACTAGTGACAATGAAAGAAAGGCTGCTAAGCTCTTAATGAAAGGTGATGAAAAGCCCATCATTCAAAACTGCATGAGCAGAAACTAGACAACCTAACTACGCAAGTGCTAATTAACAAAGCCAACAACCATTCAACCAAGCAAAAATTCCACTAAAGATAAACCTTTATAGAGAAATATTGCTTCATTTATCTCTTAGATCCAGGTGAAAAGCTTGAGTCCTAAACTGATATGGTTAGTAGACTCAGTACACAGTACAAACTTCTCCTGCTTCTGCCATCACACTTAAACAATAAAGGATGACATAACCAGAGCTATTTGACCCTCCTATTCCATGATGCATAACTCCCTTTATCCCTCTAAAATTGCCTTATGTGAGTACAATTACTTAATTTGTGATTAGGTGGAATTAGATGAGAAAATTGGTGGGACCAAAAACATTTTATGGGAGAGTAGAGCTGTGGTCTCTCATGACCATTATGGTATGGGGTGAACTTAAAGGGACAATTTAAAGAGGAACAGAAGGAGTACGAAACAAAATCGATATGCCTGTCATGATATGCTCCAGAATCAACACCATTCTAAATTCCTCACCCCATAGGTGTGACTTGTGAGAACAAGCTTATTTTGACCTCTCAAATAATTTAGCTTTGGCAACTTCAACCCTGTTTTCCAGCTTACTAAGTACTTATTACTACACTTTAAACATTGATTATTTTCAGATTCTTGCGATTTCTTGAGTGCAAGAACTATAAATCAGGCGTGAACCTTCTTGGCAATCAGCCAATCAAGAATACTATAGTAGCCGTAATGCAGCCCTTGCCCCGAACAACAAAGCATGAATTCATTAATTGATTTTCTAACCTCATGGTCGAAGGTGCACGATAACAAGGCACTTAGTTACCACTTAATTCGACAGAGTAGGACTGAAGCTAGCTAACGAAATTACCCATCTTTTCATATAGTCTAATGTGAATAACATTGGGATGAACCATCCATGTACCATCAAGATAAAGAGTGAGCTCTAACCTGCTATCTTCTGGCAAACCAACATGACATAAAGCAGCCATTAAATTACAACAGTATAAATGTATCACACAGAAATCAGACATTGAACAGCTCCACAAACTAATGCAGTTCATATATATATCAAGTTATAAACTTTGATACATCAAATTAATAAGCTCAACAATAAAAAAAATAAAAAAATAAAATAAAAAATAAAAAAAAGGCAATCACATCTCATACCAAATTTTGATCAAACTCTTCAGGAGCCCAATCGAGCTCGAAACCAGAAAGTATTTCCCGGATCACCGTCCTATCTTCCAGGGTCATTCCCAAAAGAGACCAAAACACAAGAACAAGCACCATACAACACCCCACATCTTTTATTTGCATTTTCGGTAGCTTCACTATTCCAAACACAAAAAATACTTTTCATCTCATCAATAAAACCCAGAACCTCAAATTCACCTGGCACTAGAATCAATCAATAACAACAAGAACCCTAAAAAAGGGATTTCAATAACTTTAAAATGCAACAAATTTCCCCCTTTATGCAGTAGCTCCAAAAATCCAAAATAACCAATTCGATTCTTAACACAAATTCCCATAAACTATCAACTTTGAACCAATTTGACTGATTTCAAGCTGACCCTCAAACCCTAATTCCAGAAAATTTAACTTCCAGCAATACCCAATTGAGAAAATTTCAACCCAGTTGCAGAATGATCAAAATGTCCAAATCAAAGAAGAACCCAATTAAGAAAACCGATTGAATTTCAACCTGCAAGCGTTTTAATCACCAAGAGAAAAGCGTTTGTTTTATAAATTGGATATGCGTCATTAAGAAATTTCAAGTTGTGTTTGGGACTCTGAATTTGAAAATTGACTGGATCTAACAATTGCAAAGAAATTGTAACGTAACTTCAGAAGGCGAAATTAATTGACCGTGTAATTGTAAAAAGGGTTAATCAGAAAAGTTTTAACAATTTTCAATTTTGTTTCCCTATATTTTAGGATATTTTGGGTTTTTTTTTTTTTTTTTTTAATTCAAAAGAGTATCTATGTTCATTCCTTAAGAAACTGAGAATAAAGGAAACAAAAACAACGTGGAAATGGCCGCCTAAATTCCACCAAAGTCCCACTTCATTCATTTTGATTTTCGGGCTTGGAACCGGGTTGAGATTAAGAAATTAGTTTGACATAGATGACTCGAACTCTAGAGTAGAGGCGTTAAAAACTAACCCGATCAACTCATTTCAATCCGATTCGAAAAATCTTTGATTCAGATTTCGATTTATGTGGACACAATAATGTAGTACGTCTCAACTTTAAAATAGACTTGACTTAACCAAATTCAATCCAAATACCCAAATTGACACCTCTACGACTCTAATCTTGAGTAAAGCTGTCAATTTTTAACTCAAATCGTAATTTTTTTCTTGTAAAGATCAACCGAAAAGTTTAGAACCCATCATTGGGTATCTGATAATTGACTCGAACAAGCTATATTCAACGCAAATCCAAATTGATCGACCTGAAAATCGTTGAACCATATTTGACCTGTATCCGAAAATAAACCTTATCATTTCAACCCGTAAATTGTTATACACTAGATTAGTTTTATGTTTTTTTTCTCTATAATTAATTTGTTATATAATATAAAAATGAGGCTACTCATGTGAAATAATGCAAAAATTATTAAAACTACAATTGAGGAAAAAAAAAACTCCGTATTATTTTTGATTAGTTGTATTGAAAATATTTAAAAATATTGTACATTATATTACATTAATGATGCATGTAATTCCAATAAAACTATCCACTGTAGATGTTATATGACCTTTATTTTATTTTATTTTATTTTTATTTTTATTTTTATGGAATTTAGTTAAAAAAAATACTATACAATGTATTTTCAAAAAATAAGTTAAGTACAATAATTTAAAAAAAAAACACCTTGAACCTGACATCATATATTGTATTGGCGGGAATTTTTTTAATATTAGCTTGACATATGTCCAAAAAGATAGATGTAAGCATGACCTGTTTTAGTAATACTTAATAGATTTTTTTAAGGAATTTTTTTTTACAAGTTAGTAAAATTATTGCAGAAATATTTAACAGGAAACTAACTCAATTATTATTATTTCATAAGATTTCAAATCAACACCATAAAACCCCACTAAAGAACAACTATATAATGGTAATTCAATGTTAATATTGTAATTTTGGCTTTGTTATTTTATACTATCCACCATATTCCGAACTTCTAAATTATAGCTTATTCTCCCTTAATTAAAAGGTCATAAAATCTTGTGTTACTATTTTAAATAAATAAAACATGAAATAAAAGATACTATATGAGATTATGAATAATATATCATTATAGTTGTATCATACAAATATTCTATAAATAAAATATTTTTAATAAAAAGGGAGGGGGAGTTTTGGAGGGAATTATTATAATTGTATTATACAAATAGTCCAAAAGTAAAAGATTTTTGCTAAAAAGGGAGGAGGATTTTGAAGGGAAAAAATAGCACTAGAAAGTGGACACTTGTTATTCCTGGTATCTATTTTACTATTATGTTATTATTGATGAACCATTTACAACATGTGACCATTTTAACCCAAACCATTTATAACACAAAACCGTTTCAACTCAAGGTTAACCCAAATAAACCAACCTGTTGCAACTCGTAACCTAGTAAAGCACTGTAGCCAATGAAGCATGGGTATTTGAATTTGTCGCCATACTCGTACCGGACACAAGGTACTACACCCGCACATTATGGTCCCGTAGACCCGTATACTTTGCTATATTATTATTATACTTTTTTTTGAAGCAAATATTATTATTATTATACTCTGACACTTAATATTCAATTAATTCATTTTGATGATTTTTCTTTAAATATTATATTTGGAGTAAAATTCATCAGATTCCTACCTTTTTATGAGTAAATTCTTATGAAGTGTTGAGACTATTATACCCTTAAAATATTATTTACGTATTTACCTCTTTTAAAAATATGACTACACTTTTATAGCGGTCTTTTAACCAAATGTCACTGAATATTTAGAAAATTCACTAAATGTTATCGCGTTTTTCAAAATTCACCAAATGTCACCGAGGTTTATTACAATATCACCAAATGTCATTCCCGTTAGTTGACCCAACCACTTGCCACGTGTCACCTTCTGGTTGGTCAGTTTTTTACAAAATAAATATTTAAACAAAAATAAAAAAAATGCCAAAAAAAACCAAAAAAATATTTAAAAAAATTAAAAAAAAAAATTAATAAAAAAAACCCAAACCCCAGCCACCACCCCAGCAGCCACCCGCCTAGCCATCCCTTGCCGCCGAAGCCAGCACCGGAAGGTGCGCCGACGGACCCCACCCCCACCCTTTCCCCTCCCCTTTTCCTGTCACGCCACCCACCCTAGCCCAAACCCCTAACCCGCAAAACCCCACCACCTTCCTCCACCACCCCGAAACCCCACCCCCCTTCCTCTTCCTTTTCGATTTCCGGCCACCCTACCCAAAACACCCTTCCCCTCCCCTTTTCGTTTCCGGCCACCCACCCACACAACCCAAAACCCCTTTTTCGATTCATGGGTGCTCGTTTTTTGGCTCGAATTCCGTTGGTTTTCTTTGTAATTTGTGTGTAATTTCTTCTTCTCGTTGCAATGTAAGTATTTCCATGTATAATCCTTGCTTCATTGTCGAATTTCATGCAAATTTGTGAAAAATTCGAAAACCCCCTTTGAAAAATCAATTTGGGGCTTTCTCGTGTGATGCTTATTTGATGAAATTGTTTGTCCCATGTTATTGCATTCTTGATTGTGAGCATTTTGATAGTAATTTTGTAGAAAATGGTGAAGAAATGATCATGTTGTATTCATGCCTTCGAGCTTGAACGTGGGTTTTAATGGTGGTGGAAAGATGACGGAGAGGGAATGAGGAAGGGGCGGGGCCGCCGGTACGCCTGCCGGTGCGGGTCGTCGGCGGCAGGGAGGGGCTTAGGGTGGGGTGGGCGGCCTGCCGATGAGGGTGGTAGAAGGGGTGTTGGCTGGGAATTTGGTGGGTTTTTTTTTTTTTTTTTTTTTTTTTTAATATTTTTTGTTTTTTTTTGGAATTTTTTATTTATTTTTGTTTAAATATTTATTTTTCAAAAAAGGACCAATCGGAAGGTGACACGTGGCAAGTGGTGGGGTCAACTAACGGAAATGACATTTGGTGATATTGTACTAAACCTCAGTGGCATTTGGTGAATTTTGAAATACACGATAGCATTTGGTGAATTTTTTAAGTACTCAGTGGCATTTGGTGAAATGACCGCTTTTATAAATAGCGTTGAGACGATTATGTATTTAAAATGTTTATTTACATATTTGCCCTCAATAATGTTAAATTTTTTTACAAAAATCTTAAGATTAGTGTGTGTGGACATTTATAACCCTGAAAAAATTCGTTGACATATTTTCCCTAATTAACACTACTAACAACTAAAATTATACTCTCTTTGTCCCATAATACTTAACACAGTTATTATTTTCGTCCGTCTCAAAATACTTGACACATTATTAAATATGGAATGAGACCATTAATAAAAAAAATATTTTCCCTATACTCTCATTGGGACCACAAAGCCCAAAACCCAATTAAATCATACATTTTCTCTTTCCTCACTACCCCCACCTCTCTCACCTTGTGTTTTCTTATAATATAAAAATACAAAAAGAATCCTTTATATAATAAACAAATGTTTTAAATGGATTCACTTGTAGTTTTCTTAAACTACGTGTCTACCTCAACGTCCCAAGTATTATGGGACGGAGGAAGCAATATAAAGCCAAACCAAAAGAACTTTCGGACATGGCTAGATAAATGAAAAATTTCACTAAATCTTCTTCTTAAAATATACTTTGAATTAAATAATACTTCATACTTTAGCCGATCAAATTTTGCGGGTTATGGGCAATTATTTTTGGCCCAAATCTCGGTTCAGCCCAACCAAGTGGGCTGATTTTTTTTTTCACTGTTGACATGGTCCGAATCCCGTCTAGATCATCTCTAGAAAAAAATAGTCAAAACAAACTAATTAAATTAGGTGTGCCATATAGCCTAAGATGAAATAAAGTTAAATGTAATTAATTTGAAACATTTATACTCCTTTAAAATTTGTAACCTTTATAATGAAATGAAGAGAATAATATTTGTAATAAAAGCAAGAGAATCTGACCTTTGTTAATGTCTTACAAATTACTGTCATTCATGCAATTGCAATTTTGCATACAAACCAGTTCATCTAGAATATACCACTAGATTCACTATCATCTTAACTCATGAGAAGTAATTTGAAATAAAAAAATTACAATATAGTAGCTTGGTTTAGGCCCTTTTCTTTTGAGCTTTCGAGCAGAGCAGAGTGGGGTCAGCAAAGCAGAGCAGAGAAGAGCAGATTTCATTATTATTATTATTATTATTATTATTATTAAAATTAACAAAAACTTACAAAGTCAAACATTTTACAAGAAATTAGTGGGGAGCCAAGACACAATCTGGGCCCCCACTCCTCTAGCTATAGCGAATCCGATCCTGCTGAAAATGTGAGCAGCGGCACGAGCACCAATATCCTGAGTCCTAGCGAAAGCCTGAACCCGCTTCAACAACGCAACAGCATCCTTCTCTAATTCCCGCAATGAAGAAAAGGAGAAAGGAAGAAAACCATAGCCAATAGCCTTGCAACGCGCCCCATACTTGTCTCGCTTCCGCTGAGCCGCGGCCTACACAACACGACCAGGAACGAAGTCAGATAACCCAGATTGTGTCAAAGGAGAAGACCTCGTCAAGTCAACGCATACATCAAGGCCTCTATCCCAAGAATAAAGCAACACATCTGCTGGTCGAAGAGCCCCGTCGTTCCCCCCGGTCAACCCAACATTAACCTCCTTTCTTGCAGAAATATCAGAGCGAAAACATAAATCAACAAGGGTATCACGAACAACGTTGTGCCGATGTTTAATACCAACCATTCCAGCACAAGACACTGCATGATCCCCATAGATATCCCTATCAAAAACCCTTGAGCAAGCAGAACACGGTGTCGAAACGGAGAACAAGGGAACACCCAACCGATAGCAAAGAACACAACGGTAAGTCTTACCATTCATAGTCTGACCTAAACCTGATATTGGGACTGCATGCAACCAGGCAGATGAGTGATCCCCCTGCTGTGACTTCCATAAGGCCACTTGATGCGGAGATAAGGAAAAAGTGGATTCCACAGATGCGGTGACCTTCGTGAAATATATATCTGCCAATTTCTTCATGAGTTTGGGGGCAGCGATCTCACTAGGGTTACGCATAAGGTCAGTCTCCACAGTCCTATTAAAAAGACTAAGAGCACCATCGAAGGCCGGTCCTGGACCAACGATACCAGAATTGCGCAGAAGCGTAGCCTGAAGACCCGAAGACTGCAAACGCGACGCAAGGAAAGCATAGTGTCGAACATCACCCGCTGAATAGACACCCAATCCACCATAAGAAAAAGGTAAGGTGGCATATTATTATTATTATTACTGTTATTAAATATTAATTATTTTATTATTATTATTAATATTTATTATTATTATTATTATTATTATTGTTTTTAATTATTAATTATTATTATTGTTATTATTAATTATTATTACTTTTATTATTATTATTATTATTATTATTATTATTAAAAATTAATTACTATTATCTTTAAATATTAGTTATTATTATTAAATATTAATTATTATTATTAAATATAAAAAAATTATTATTATTATTAATAATTATTATTTTTAAGCAGAGCAGAGCAGATTTAAGCAGAACATACGAGAGTAGAGCAGCTCAAAAGAACAGGGTCTTAGTATACCTGTTGGTGATTACCCCCACTGACACATGCAAGCAAGGGATTGAGTTTCTCCTTGGGACCTGACTCGACTCGAATCAAAATTAGTCATTACAAGGCGAGGTACTATTAAAAAAACATAGGTGCGTGCCGAGGAATCCAACAGGGACATCGTGCAATTGATCCTAGTGCAAAAGTTCCCAGTACAGCTACATAGAAGAGGAGCACAATAAACAAAACTCCCAAAAGAATTTCCACTAAAATAAGTCATACTATATGCTAAAAATAAAGTATTCTATGATGGATACTACCTATTTAGCCATGATCTCACTAATATTTTGGTGGTGCACTAACCACTTTAGAAAGTGACTGTAATAATAATGATCTTTTGAGGCCATGAAGACAAAGCATCTATCAGATTGATCCAAACCCTCCTTTTTTAAAAGCACTCTTAAAGATGCTATAAATCAAGAGATAATACCATATCATGCTTCAATTTCTTTATTACCTGATTTTCAATCGAGTAAAGTATCTGAAGATGCGAGAAGATGCCTCATCACTTACACCAAAAAAAAGTCCATGAAAAATATTCTGTTCTCACATTGTATGTTTGCTGTCACAAGCTTACATTGATGATGATCACATATAGCACAAGACCGTCCTTTGCCATAATATATAATAAAAATAATAAAAAGCTCGTAATTGTGTGCATAACAACATTGATCAAAGCCTAAAGTAATACTTAAGTTATCTTACACTCGGATGCACCTAGAGCTAGATGCACTCGTAACCCTAGGGTGTATGTTTGCTCATTGCATCAAATTTGCTAGTGCACTAAGTGATTGAGTCATATAAGCATATAGCATTATCATTAACATCGTGTTTTCTTCAACTGATTTTTCCTTGATGATCTTTTTCAAAGAAACCTCATGCATTATTTCAAAATAGTAAGTACAACCACTAACACATTTACTGGCTAAAAAAGACTTAGATTACTAAATTAACCATGAAATTTACAATATCTGCCAAGATCCAAGAATATGTGGTACCTTCATAGGAATAATAGGATCCATTAAAATTTTCTACTTACTTTCTAAAACAAACTGCTTTCTATAGGCAAGTGATGGTTTATGTATAGATGGACTTAAGCAGTCTGTCTTAATTTTCTGAGTATAAAATTAATAATTTTGACAGGTGAGACTAAGAAATCTAAGCAGAAAGAACAAAAAAGGTCCAAATTCTAGCTTTTTTTTATCTTTGAAACAGAACAATTACAAGAGGTGGAGACAGCAACATGTGAATTGTTATGCACCCTTTGAGTGTTCAAATACGGAAATGTGTGCACGTTAATCAAACCTTTAAAAGAACGGCGAAAACAAAGGGAATTTCGACTATTTCCTAGTTTTATCAGAGAGCCAGTAATACAAGTTGTGACATGCTAATGAGAGGAATTTGATGGAGAAAGAAATATTCTGTTATCTTTAAATTCCTGAAAAGATTCTAAAGGAATTTGTTCTGTTTTTACTTTACTAAAAGATTTTCCTTCAAGACTATAAGAAGAATAAAACTAAAACTATACTCTAAACAAAGTTAGTACCAAAACTCATTACTCAAACTCAAGTTCATACACAACTTTCTGTGATGATGGCTGGCTGCAGACAGATCGACGTTCACCTTGAAGATCGAACACCACATAAATGGATCGTTCCCCTTACAGAAGAGGTTTTCCAAGCCTTCTTATCGAAAGGAAACCAAGCAATCCGTAAAGTATTTGGTGATGGTTCATTCTTTAGTCCAATGTTGTTTGGCAAATTTTTCGATCCTTCTGACGCTTTTCCTCTGTGGGAGTTTGAGGCTGATGTCTTGCTGTCCATTCTAAGAGCCTCTGGAAATAATCAGGTTGATTGGACTCAGAATGATAAAGAGTATGTACTGAAAGCAGAATTGCCTGGTGAGTTCTTTTACGTTTTTCTGAATTTCTGAACATTTTTTCCTTGATTGAATTCATGCTATAAACCCATTAAATGTCTAAAATAAACATACTGCTAACATGTTAGATAAGCTCATACATAATTTGATATTCAAATAATTAGCTGTTAATGTTATGTTAAGCTGCTAACATGTTAGATAATAAGAATCATAAGATCTGCTAATCTTACACTTACAAAAACTCGATTGTATAGTCGGTTATGTTTTAACTGTATGAGCACAAATTGTATGTTTATGCAGGAGTAGGAGAAGATTCTTTACAGGTGTGTGTGGAGAAGGGAAAAATACTCGAAGTTAGTGGACAATGGAAGCAATCAACTGATCCTAAGGCAAGGGACTGGAAAAGTAGTCATTGGTGGGAACATGGGTTTGTTCGAAGGATCGAGTTGCCAGAGAACGCAGATTGGAAGAAGACCGAGGTAACTGTTAAAAATGACATAATATTAGAGATAAAAATACCTATGAAATCATCAACTATTCCTACTCGTCGAGGTGATGATTCAGACTGAGAATTGTTCAGTACTTCTGTAAGTTGATGAAACACACATCACATCATGAGCAATTAAGCATAATAAGACATTTTTTTTATGGAGCCAATAAAATGTTACTTAAAATTATGTGTATCCATGATGCAATACTCATAGTAACAGAGCCGGGGAACAGGAAACATTGATAGGAACTCACAGAATGACAGGATGCAGAGAGCTGACATTCATGAAACATTAAAAAGGACTAATTGGAAACTGAATGTTATGGGTTATTTCTTTGTTTTTTGTTTTTTCAGGGTAATGCAGAGAAGTTTAAAGGAAGAGTGTAGATTACAAAGGGGAAAGTTTGGTTCTGACTTAATCAACTTGCTTCTCAACACATCGGTGTTAGAAGTAACTAACTACAGGGAACAGAAATTTCTGAAGACGATTCCTTTTTATTAAGATTTATATCAAACTGATTAAAACTAGATTCAAATTGCTCTTGAACAACATTGCACTGCGAGTCTGCGAATGTACTGGTTCTCAACAAATCCAGTTATCCTGCAGTACCCAACTGCTGAAAGTTATAACAATTTCTTCAGAAGCTCCCAAAAGAGCACCAGTACTTGGTTAGATGGTGGCCTAGATCATTGCAATGTAATAACAGTGTAAACCCAAAGTTTGATCCTTGTTTCGAGGTTTATACTAGCAGCAGAACTGCTGTTAGAAGTTTCTGTAAACATCAGGAAAAACAAACTTATGTAAAGCATACAGAGTTCTGAATTTCAGCAGACATGTGGCTGCTATCAGTCTGATCACATCAGTAGCAAACAATCGTTTGGTTCTGATTTTTCTTTCGAACAAGGAAGAAAGATGAAAGGGAACAAGTCATAGATATTCCATTAATATGAATACTCATCTAAGCCAGGAGATGTAAGCAATAAGCTCAAGGTATGCCAAATTCTGGAATGTAGGCGGCCGGAAAAAAGAAACACATACATGACTTGTTCAAACAGATGAAAATTCTTTGTTTCTAGGCCTTTCAGAAATCTCTAAATTATAAGTGGTGGTCTTACTTTTTTGCTGTTGAATTTTTGTTCTTGTTACCTCTATTACAATGAACGCTGTTTCACTGGTACGAAACACATAACAGCCATGGAATCAACAATGACAAGCTCTCAAAGAATTTAGCTCAAAGATATATATAGATCAGTAATATACCATAAAAACCAATTTTGTAATACAATTGGAGTTCAAATATTATCTTGATGAATTAAAGACAAGAAAGCAAGACTAACACCAACGCAAACACCATTTTTTCCCTAAGCGTTCTTCTATCCAGGAGCTACTATGTGCAATATGATGTAGACAAGTTTCGAACCCACGTCTAAGGTGTAAATTCTTATAAACTTTACACTTTAGTCTTGTTTGTCAATTGGGTACTGTTATTAGGAATGTTAGCTGCGTCTCTTGGCTGATTTGACCAACTATTTGTGTTGCCTTTTTAAATGTTGGCTCTTAATGAATATATTTAGTAAAGTTAAATGTTGGGTGGCGATTGTTTCGTACAAAATGACCTTAAAAGGATTTTCATATGCTTTAGTTTCTTTGTAATACAGTATAGAATAATGACAACTCAATAGCAATAATAAGAAGCTAGTTTTCAAATTCAAAAGCGAATGAAAAGGCTACGAAAAAATCATTTACCGAACATATCCTTTAATAACTAGCTAATCAGTATGTAAGTACATCTATCACCAATTTCTTCCTACAATAAAAATTACATGTATCAGTCCATTATGATAAAATTTGATTGCGTACTCCCAAGTGTAATAAATAATAAGGCGTTTTTACTAGAAGGTTTGGCACTTTGGGTATGGCCAAGTGGAGATTGTTTGGCACTTTGGGTTAGTGCAATGGCACTCACTCCACTTAACTTCCTTTTTGCCCACCACGTAGCATGAGTACATGACTAGTAATCTAGTATCAATCATAGATTCATAGTATAGACCAAGGCCTTAATCTCACCAATATTATGGAGGAATTTGTATACTTATAGAATGATTTGTAGCCAGTGGCGGATCCACGGAATGTGGAGTGGGGGTACGAAATTCGGCTCGTTAATAAAAAAAATACGAAACTTAACAAACTAAAATTTCAATTATTTTTTGTTTATTTTCACCATCTTATTACATCAAATATATCCCTTACTCCTTAAGTGTTGTCCATATATAATTAGACCAAACAAATAAAATTAATACAAAGTAATATAATTAAAGGCCATACAATTACATTTTTTATAAAACTCTTAGATGATCTTTTATTTTGATAAGTCAACAATTGTATGAATAAACTAAAAAAACACTTATAGTAACTTAAAGTGTAACTAATTACACTTACTGTAATTCCTGGTCACAATCAAATATATGAGTACTCGAATTGATGCATACTATTTATTAATCATCAACAGTAATTAAAATATGTAAGTTTTATTCGAAGGAAAAAAATTAAAATTAAAGCATATATATTGATGAACATACTATGTTTAGAACTTATAATACGTAAACTCTTATTTTTATACAATGAGAAATCATTAGACAATTATAGAATATTAACAATATATCTTACGTAAGATAAAATTTAAAATAATTGATATTTGATAGTAGTGTTATAGTAGTATTAACTATATAAGTGAAGAAGACATGAAAAAATTACTACTAGGTATGATACATATATAGTGAGTACTCTAAAAGGAAAAAAGAAATAAGGAAAAAAAAAAAGGCAAAAACGAAGTAATTCGTATTAAACTATTAATGTACTTGGTAAAGTGAAAAAACAAAAGAGGATAGCTGTTTTAGTAGGCGGTCTCTTTCATGTATACTATAAAACAACGGGTCAGACCCGTCGTCAGCTTGTCAGTTTGTATGACAAGACTTAAGAGTCGCTTATTACAAAAAACATATCTCTTTGATCAACAATTTTTTTTTTTTTTTTTTTTTTTTAAGAATGGGGGTACAATTGTAGCTCTGTGTACAACCTGGATCCACAACTGTTTGTTTGTTTTTTTTTTTTTTTTTGATGCAAACGAGGGCCAAGCCCGAGATAAAAAACAAATTACAACCTAAGCAATAAAACGAGGAGTGGTAACTCCTATGAGGTCCTCCCTATGAGTATCACGTATTTCGATCGGGATACATAACACTCTCAATTCAGACCACCCCTACATTAGCCAACCTATCCGCTCTATAACAATGAACAAGACTAATATTACTACCAAATGAGCTGATGATGCTACGACATTCCCTCAGCGAGTGTACACATTCCCCTCCAAGGAGTTGAACATTCTCCAGAGCTTCAATACATGCTTTGTTGTCCATTTGGATGACTAGTTTAGGAATGTCAAGGTTCTTAGCCATGCATAGTCCTAGCTCAAGGGCAAGTACCTCAGCTTTGTAAGCATTGCAGTGGCCAAAATTAGCAGCAAACCCCTTAATAAAATGTCCCCTGCAATCTCTTAGCACACCTCCCCCACCTGCTGGTCCTGGGGAGCCTCTAGCTGCACCATCGGTGTTCAAGGCTAACCAATCAAGAGGTGGAGCAATCCAGCGGATGAGGACTTCTCTTTTTGTTGAAGCAACACGCGGCTGCAGCCCATCAGTTCCATACTCTCCCATGAAAGTTCTCCAAGTTTCATCAATTTTTGCCCTTAGGAAACCACTTGTATCAATTGGTATTTCTTCATTCCTTCCATACAGCGCACAATTTTGCCATTTCCAAATCCACCAAAGAGTGATAGCAAAGCAAGTGGCCCATTTTTCAGAAAAAATTAGACCTTCAGCCTTCAAATTGCGAGTGATCCAACTTTGAAGGTCACCTCCGAAGAAGGAAGGGTAATTTGCAGTCCCTCCAACGCTATGCCAAATATTCTTTGCTATTGGACAATCACGAAGCAAATGTAAAAGGGTTTCATCTGTATTTTGTGAGCATCTACTACACCTTGGATCGCCAGTGAGGTGCCTTTTCAGCCTATTTGCGTTGCAAAGCACTCTGTCATGAAGAATGAGCCATAAAAAGACACGCACTCTTTGCTGCACGGGAGCAGTCCATGCTAAGTCCCACTTAGGGTCTTTATCAATATGTTCCTCATCTTTCATGATGGTGAGGGCATATTTGATAGAAAAACCCCCTGTTCTTGACCCTTTCCAGTAGCATAAGTCGCCTATATCTGAATTTTTAATAACCTTGTGCGCTGCAATTTGCTTGAGTATATTAGAAGGGAGAATGTTAGCAAAGCTATCCCACTTCCATCCTACCCCAGCTTCCCATAATTCCTCAACAATGGCCCCATCCAAAGCTTTAGGTATGACATTAATAGCGTGGTTGCGCAAAGGAGTATTAGTTGCCCAAGTGTGATCCCAAAAAAGTGATGTGAATCGAGTCCCCTTTCAACTATTTTTATTGCTTTATTTAGGTAATCTCTTGGTTTTACCTTACTCTTAAATCTTAAAGTAGGGGTTTTACAAGTGAGTTTTAATAATGTTTTTATTATTTTCTTAGTAGTAGTTAGAGGTGGCCAGTGGGCCGGGTTGGACCCAGCCCACCCTAACTCGCACGGCTGGTGGGTCACGTGGGTCCGACCCGGTTTCAATCCGGCACAGCCCGGCACAGCTCGGATTTAATCCGGGTTGTGTCGTGGGTCCAAAATTTTCGACACAACCCATTTCAACCCAGCTCAGTTTAACCCGTTTGATTCGACCCAAATCGCACAACCCGTTTTGACTCATTTAATTCGACACACCTAGCCCGTGAACCCACCTAACCCGACCCACCTGGCACAACCCAGCCCGCACGGCCCACCCGCACGAATGACCCACCCAACCCGCACGAGCCAACCCACCTAACCCGCACGCATGACCCACCCAACCCGCACGCATGACCCACCCAACCCGCACGGCCGGCACAACCCGCACGGCCCGCACAACCCGCACGGCCCGCACAGCCCGCACAATCGCACGACCCGCACGGCCCGCACGGCCTAACATCCATTTTAAAAAAAAAAACGGCTAGTTTTTTGTATCTAACGGCTAGTTTTTTGTATCTAACGGCTAGTTTTTTAAGTGTATGATCATCCATTCTATTTTTCCTATAAATACCAATTCCATTTCACTCAAATTTCCACACAAATTCAAGCTTTCTTTCTCTCTTACTTAAAAATTCTTATTGTTCTCAAATTCTCAAGTGTTATATAGAGTTATATTTTTGTTAAAAAAAATCTCCTTAATATTATTATTAGTATTCTTAAGATTCTAAAAAAAAAAAGTTCTTCTCCATATTATAATTAGTAATCATACAAAAAAAAAATGAGCTCAAGAGGAGGAATGGGAAGGAGTCAAAGTGGTGGTCGAAGTGGTAGCCAAAGGAGTGGTGGTGCAAATTTTTCGTATGAAATTAATACGGAAAATTTAAACCAATTTGTCAATGAATATGGAGATTATGGTTTAGGAGATAGGCAAAATATTCAAACGTCTCCACCACAACATTTCTCCCACGAGTCCCACCAATCATCAAGTTCAACTATGCCACCTCCATCGCAACCAACATCTCAACCTTCATCTCAAGGTAATTTCTAATTAAATTTTTATTGTTATGAATATTTAAAAAAACTATTATTAATGATTATAAAGTTAGTTTAGTTTCCAATTTTCTATGATTTACAATTAGTTAATTACCATGAAAAATGCGTTTAAATAAGTATAATTAAAATATTTAAAATTTAAAAGCTTATTTTCATGAATAGCATTTAAAAATTAATTTTAATAATTTGATTTATGAAAGGTGGTGGCGGTGAAAGTAGAGGTCGAGCACATTTTTCTTGGGTGTGGAAACATTTTGAACGAGTTGAGGTCACACCCCCGGGATGGCAACCTGGTCAACCAAAGAGGTTCACGTGTACATGCCTAGTTTGCAAGGCGCTAGGTGCAAATGTCAAGTCATATAATTGGAAAACGGGAGATGGAACCGGAACCTTGAGTCGGCATTTGCAAAATAAACACGACTTGTTCGAAAATGGCCCCCGTCCTTCGGGGGGTGG